AAACCCTAAACCCTAAACCGCGAAGTTTCAGGGGGCCTCTGGTTGCTCCAAAAAGAGTCCTCATGCCACCCTGCCCATACTTTCCACTGTGGTCCCTCTATTTTGGCTTGATATCGGGGCCTTCAATAAGTACCAATACTAATTTTGGGGGCTCCTTGTTATAATTATAGTATAATGGGCCCCAGAACCCTATTCTAATTATTTTGGGCCCCTATATTAAAGTATTTCATATTTAGGATCCTACAAGGTAACCCGAAGGATGCAGTACGGTAGGTAAGCACCGAACATTTCCAAAATCCTCACCGTAAACCATGAAAGCGAACCCTAAACCCTTAACCCCAAAATCCAAGAGCCGTAAACCGCGAACCCCAAACCATAACGTTTGAAAGCTTTCAACAATAAAGCATGTCCGTGAGGAGCCTCAGGGCTGCCAAAAAGCGCCCTTCTCGATTGGAGGCTGCCAACAAAACAGCGTAGAGTCAGGCATAGTTTAGGGTCAGGGGATTTGCAAATCACGAAAACACTAGCAGTAACAACAACAAAAATCTTGATGCTCATGTTTGGAACACTGTTTTTTAAGATCCCGCGGAACCTTTCAGCAAACATCAGAAAGCCTGAGCCCTGCCTGTGAGTCTGAGGCTCTTCAGCAACGACCAGGAGATGTACTGGCGCGAAGCAAGCCACGGGCTGAATCGTTTCGCCTTCTTCGCCGGGCGAGCCCTGGTGGCTTGGGAGCCGATGGAGAGGGATCTGGGGCTTTCGCCGGGTTCTGATGGTGCTGATGGCGATAACGGAGATGGGGAAGGCGATGAAGATAAAGATGCTGAAGAGGATGGTGATGATGAGGGGGAGGCGGATGAGGGTGAGGATAAGGATAAAGAGGATAAGGACGAGGACGAGGACCATCAAGATGAGGATGATGAGGATGACGATGACGATTACGGTGAATATCATGATGTGGTCCGGATAGTGATGCTGAACATGGTCATGAAGCCACCGGCACTACCGCGCGTAGAAGTGGTAGTAGTCGTCGTCCTCGTCGTGGTCGTCGTCGTCGTCGTCGTCGTCGTCGTCGTCGTAGTAGTAGTAGTAGTGGTGGTAGTAGTAGTAGTAGTAGGCGCCCCCCCCTACCAACCACCTCTGCTACTAACCCTCTTAACA